CAGGCTGCGTGTCTCAAAATGTCTAAAAGAGCTCTGTAGATAAGAATGAAACTAAAATGTGCTAAGAAATTATAGTGGTCATTTAAGTGGCAGCCTTTCCTTTCTTGGGGATACTAAAACGGCGACATGCCACACAATCTAAGGTGCTTTACGGTCAGCAAGAAGGAAGACATTTCAGAGCCTAGCAACAGGATAAATCTGTGCCAGCTCTCAAGATACTTGTTTAGAAAATGGAGCAATAAAGAATGACAGAAGTAAGGCAATGCAGAATAGTCACCAAAAAAGTGTTGGACACTGAGTGGAAAAAGAAAAGACCTGAGGAAATGTTGGAGAAAGGGAAGGCTCTGAAGAGCCCAGAAGAATGGGGAGGGTTCCTGGGGACGCCGAGACAGGATGAACAGGGCGGGTGCAGAGGCGACCGAAAACCAGATGCAGAGGTGAGGGACATCTGGGAAGAGGGCAAGCAGCATATTTTGACTCCAGCCTTTGCCACCCTTTTTGGCTTTAGAGACCCCTTTAAGAATTTGAAGAAGTTAAGGGCGGGCAAGATAGCTCAGCAGACTAAGCGCTTGCTTAGGCAAAGACAGAGAACTGGGTTCAATCCCTGGCACCACGTGCCACCCTGGCCCCACTCCCAGGCACAGTGAGCCGGCCACTGAGTCCAGATGTGGTGGCACACACCTGTATTCCCAGTGCTAGGGAAGGCTGCAAACAGGAGGATCACTGTGAGTCCAAGCTATATAATGAGACCCTATACCAAATACATTTTTTTAAAAAATTGAAGAAGCTGGCATGGTGGCACATGATTGTAATCCCAGCACCCAGTATGGTCACCCAGAATTCAAGGCTACTGTGGGCTACACGGTGAGTTCAAGGCCCACCTGAATCACATAGCAAGACTTCCTAGAACCAAACATAGCAAAACTTTTCCTAGAACCAAACAATGCAAGTTAATAATAATTTTAAAAAAGCTTGTCGCACTATTTCTGTTCACAGGTTGCTTGAGAGAGAGGGAAGAGACCAGGAAAATGGAAAAAGAAGTAGCCTCATTGCGTGAGAGGTCGGCAAGTGTGCTCCAGGCTGCAGAAGAGCCTTTTCTAAAGAACAGACTTACATGTGCCAGCACGGAGGAAGGCTGAGGAGGAGAAACGGAACCCCTGCAGACTGCTCACCCAGAGATTACGGCCTGGCCCCCTGCAGAACCTGTCCTGGATCTGATTGGGTCTAAGGGCTCCCGCCCTGCTGGGATGACACCCAGAAACCATAGATTGGAAATAAAACACACAGGGATAAAAGGATGCAGGGCCTTATTGGGGTGACCTGGAGATTGCACTCACATGCGTCAGATTTTATATTTAATTCAGGGCACACCAAAGCATGAGTGGGTCACGAGAAATGGCTGTCCGGAGCTTGGGTTTAGGAAGATTGATCTTTGGATTAGAGGTGCGTGAGAAAGGCTGGAGAACGCAGCTCGGAGTTTACTGCAGTTGCCTTGTACATTCTTCAGATACATTCTATTTATTCAGTTTTTCCAGCTCTGCTTGCCACCCGCCATTTGGCAGAAAGCCAGGCCTTTTTCGTTAGCAGGCATTCGGTAGCCTTGCTGAAGTGCTGTCATAAATTCACTTTGAAGCTCCCCTTGCAGTGCCGCCGTTGTCCGACAGGTGGCACCATTACTGCATTATTTACGGGGCAAGGTTCCTTCCATAAGCACAGCGCTTCCAAGGAGAAAAGCTATTTTTCTGAGGAAACTCATCTTCTGGGGACAATTTACAAGTGAGAAAGAACTCGCAGCTCGAATAAAGCATTGGAGAACACTGTGTTTCCGTCTCATCTTACCGTGTCCTGTCGCTTAGTAGTTCCCTGCCTGAATGTCTATTTCTAAGCATGTCACTAAGGCAAACTGTTTATGAAGACCTGCCTTTCCAAAGCAAGCAATTGTGTGACTTTCAAGAAGTTTAGATTTGGGGAAGAACTGTGCTTTGTTCTGGGACAAACTTTTAAGTGACCTGTTTTGTTATGCTAATCAAGGGCCGGGGAGGTAGTTCAGTGGTGTAAGCGCCCACCTGGCAAATGCAAGGTCTTGAGTTCGATCCCTAGTACACTAAACATTATACTAATCAAGTAGGACCACAATCTACATGGATACGGCACGCTTGTGCTGGAGACCAGCGCGCATCTTGGGCCAACCATCAGTGACCTCTCTAGCTCAGATTTTGGCTGTGCCAGGCAGAAGCTGTGTCTCATTTCTGTGAAGTCCCGTGTGCTCTCATTTTGAGATTAACTGCTAAAGCCTGAGTGGCCCTAAAGGGATGACCATCGAGAGGGGAGTGCTCGGGCCGTGCACGCAGCTGTGTCGGCCCAGCGCAGCCAGCGCAGGCTGCACGTGGTCCCCTCCCTGCCTCGCCGCGGCAGTGGGCTGGCCAAGCATCCCACAGGGACTGGCCAAGGCCCCCTGCACACCTCCCCTCCTCTTCCCTGGCAAGCCCTGCGCAGCCGCAGACTCGGATCAGAGGAGACGGACTTGCAGCGCGTGATGTAGGTCGGCAGAATTTGAATTTTTTGAAATTAGATTTATATGTAGACTTGAATTCAGTGTGGAGAACACTGTGGGGGCTCTTGAGGTAAGGACCCTGGACGTGTCACACTCAAGCAGGGCCATTTCCTGTTGGGTATTTTTTATATTAGAGAATTGCATTGCCCTTTGGCTCAGCAGTTCTGACTCAGTTCTTACCTTGTAAGGAGGAGAGACAGTGGACTGTCTCTCTGGATGGTATATGCACTTACACAACTTTGCGGTCAATTTCAAAGGCTGTGGCCCCTGAATTTTAGTAGTGCCCCTTGCCCTTGAGTCCCTGGTTAGAAAACCCAGCTCAAACGCGCATCAGGGACGCTGCAAACAGGAAAGAGAGGCTGGGAGGGAAGAGGAGGGGAGGGGTACAGGGGGCCTTGGCCAGTCCCTGTGAGATGCTAGTGTTGGAGATGAAGAAGGTGGTGAACTGCTCTCTCTGGGGAGGTTTCTCTCTCTCTGGACTTGAGATAAACGCTCTCGAGAGGCCCTGCATTGAGAAACTAGGAGACATTTAGAAAGTGGGTATAAAAAAGAGCAACTAAAATAGAGTCCAGGGTTAAAGGACTCAACTGGAACTTTATAAAGGGCTAAGCTGCCTTGAGATTTACGTCGGACAATCTGAGGTGCAGGAGCAGGGAGGACAGCATGGCAGCTTGTGTCTGGAAGCACCTGGAGCACCCGGATCTGCCTCAGGCAGCAGGTCAGGGCAGCCATCTTCCTGGTGTTACTGGTCTGCCATTACCTGGACTCTGAGAAAGGTCACTAACCAAAATCTGAACTGCAATTTTTTGCACAAACTGAGAGGCTAAAAGGTAAATTGGGGTTATTTCTTCTGTGGAAACTGAGGTCTCCTCTGAATATCCAAGTGGCACAATTGGCAGTGTTTCACACTGAATGCTCTCTAAATCAGAGAGACGCAGGTCCAGGTCCTGGCTTGTCAAGTTCAGTCATGACCTTGACCAAGCCTTAGGTCTACTTCTGAACTGTTGTGTGAAAGTAATCATGCTGCCTCCAGATACAGCTGGGCCTACAGTAGCTACTCAGTGACAAATGATACCATCGTTGTTCCTAGCAGTGCTGAACGCTAGAGCTGTGGCAGGAACCTTTCCTCTCCCAGCCCCAGGTTCACGCCTCAGATCTGTGCTCTGGCTGTCCTCCCTAGGGTCCCAGACCATGCTGCTGACCACTCTACAGCTCAAAGCCCTCTCTGGCCAGCCTACCCATGCTGGGCTGGTCCCCGAGACCTTGTGGTCCATAAGCTATATGACATTTAAGACAAAAAGACTTGTGCTAAGTTTAGAAATCTCACCATTCCCTTTTCCTTACCCTGAGACATAAGGGCTCTTCAGATAGACAAAGGTGATACATATATATTTTTTTAATTTTTTTTTCCAGAACTAGGGATTGAACTCAGGCCCTGAAGTGCTTATTCCACTGAGCCATCTCCCCAGCCGGCAAAGGGTATACTAAAAGAGGGTTTCTAGAACCTTCCCAGCTTTGGTTTGCTTTTCCCGGAGGAGTCGGTCACCAACCACGCCATCCCAGTCCACTTATATTTTAACAATCTTTCCTAGAGGATCTTAAATATATTTCTCCACAAAACTCTTTAACCCTATTTTATACATCAGTCAATGAAGTGTTGAAACTAAAATCCAAACCCAGATCTGTGCCTCCAGTGCTATTTGTACCTCTGCAACAAGCAACAGCAAGTGTATGTGCACGTGCCCACACTCTACGCGTGCGTGCACGCGCACGCACACACACGCGCACACACACACTCATCATCATCATCATCATCATCATCATCATCATCATCATCATCATCCTTGCTTGTTCTGCTCTCAAATTTTGTTCTGGGAAACCCTCAGGAAACCTCCATTGCCCAAGGGAACAGCCCAGCGGTGATGTCAGTCTCTGCTCTCTGGGGAACACCTGACCGGCATCCTCCACTAGAGGCCTTAGGCAGTTATTGTGATTCCCTTTATGATGTGTCACTCCCAGAAATCCTGGGCAGTCCCTCCAGAACAATGCCCCCCACTCTCCCCTTCCATGAACAGGTGTCCTGCCTACTATCCCAGGACTTGGATTTAGAAATCATCCCCCAGGGAGCAGATACTGACAAGAAATCTTTTGCATGCGTGTTGTGCTGGCTATTGTTAGCCTGGGAATCTCAACACATGCCCTCTCCTTCCTCCATCCAGCTTGAGATCCAGGTCCAGGGCAGAAGACAAAGCAGGCAGAGTTTGCAGTGCCTGTCCCAGCCAGGGGAGGGACAGTCAAGTCCCTGGAGCTGCAGCAAGTAGGCAGGCGGGAAGTCCCTACCTCTCCCACTAAAGCCTGGTCCATGCAATGCACCCAGAAGCCCCCCTGACATCCTCTTAGTACCAGTCAGCAAAAGGGGAGATGATGCCTTTTTATTAAGGTTAATACTAAGAAAAGCACTGAGCAGGAATACACAAAAGAGGGGAAAGGGCACACAAAGTCACCACTTGAGAAGGCAGGAGGGAAGCACATTATTAAGGGATCTCAGGACAGCCACATGCTCATGCCCTGGTGGGAAGGAGGGAAAGGCAGGGGAGAGAGGTGAGCGCCATTATAGCCCGGGGTCCTCAGCAGAGTCCGAATCCCGGGAACCTACCACCAGAGCCTTGAGCCCTGCCCCTCAGGGCTCACATACTACTGCACAATTAGACGCACAAAACACACACTAGACATTATGGAGGCGACACCGAGAGGCAGCGGGCAGGGACGGATTGACAGAAAAAAGGAACTGAAGTTAAGCAGGTGTAGTCAGGAGAGACAGTTTTTGGCTGACGCCCCTAAGAGTCCCTCAAACGTCCCCTAAACCTGGGCCTCTGCTGAGCACCCGAGTCTCTGCCTGTGGGATGGGCTCTTTGTTCTCTCGGCCCCACTGAGTGGAAAAGCAATCCCAGATGAAGTCGGTGACACGGCAGGATCCGCTCCGCATGCAGAATCCTAGAGGTTGAGCTACTTTGTCTTCATGCACATTCACAGCCAGCTCCTCCCAACCCTGGGACCCCCGAACCCCTTTCACCCAGATTCCTGCGGCTGCAGTTCCTTAAGTTTCCTTTACCAATCAGCAGCCGCAGAGATCTATGAGGGGGAGAGGCTTCTGCAGAGCGCTGGATAGCTTGGATTTCAGCAGAAGGGTAAATTTCCTGTTGCCAGAACAGAATACCCCCCATTCCTTAATTTTTCGGCAAATCATTAGAGATTATTTGCCATAATCCTAGATAAGTCCTTTTTCAGAATAGAAAAAGCAGATTTTATTTACATAATTCAGGGGTTCTCCTGTTGCCTGGGGAGAGGGGAAGGGTAGGGAAGGGGATGGTGGAGTCCGGAGATGGGCACTTCCTTTCCCGGAGCCTCACCTCTGTCCAGTTTGTTATCGCGCTTGTTGGGCAAAACAATTCCCGACTCTCCAAGTCCTTCGCCCTCCGGACTCTGCCCTACACGCGGGGCAGCTGGGGGAGCGAAGCTTGAGCCCCTTGGCCATGCACTCCGAAGCCCAAACCAGCCCGGGAAGTGAGCGTGCCCGCAGTGCCCTCATGGGGAGGCCGCGCCCTCCAGCTGCAGCAGGGTAATGTCAGGCAGGTCGAGGGGCTCCACAAGTGGCCCGTCTCCCCCCAGGAGACCAGCACTGGGGCTCGTGGCGCGCTGGCGGTGGCTGGTGGGTGTGGCGGGGCTGGGCACCTCTTTCTCCCCGTCGTCGCCGTCCCGCTCGTCCTCGGGATCGAGACCCAGCACGCCGCCGTCCTCGGCTCCAGGTGAAGGCGCCTCCGGGTCCGGGGGGGGCCCGGGGAAGCTCCCCTTGGCGCCGACCACGCCCAAGGCGCCCTGGCGGGGCGCCGTGGTCATGATCTGGCACATGGAGACGATGGCCCGCTGGTTGGCGCACACGTCGTCCGAGAGCACCTGGATGTGCGAGGCCTGCTCGTCCAGCGCCCCGCGCATGGCCCGCACGTCCTCGAACAGGGCCTGCAGCTGGGCCTTGAGGTGCTCCATCAGCTCCTTCATGCCGCCGTTGTACTCCCCGGAGAGCACGTCCCCCACGGCCGGCACGGCCGACACCTCCAGGGGCGCAGGCACGTCGCCGCCGTCCTTGGTCCTGAGCTCCAGCAGCGCGTCCTCCATTGGGTGCACCGCGGGCTGCGCCCGGGCGTCCGCGGGGAAGGGTGGGGGCGTCCGGGCGGCGCGGAGCGGCCGGGGCCGCGG